ATATATATATATATATATATATTGCAATAAATTTCATTTATACTCGTTATTATCGTTAGGATTATTATTGTTGCTGTTGCTGTTGCTGTTGCTATTGCTCTTGCGATTGCTATTACTATTGCTACTGCTACTGTTACTGCAACAATTGCAACTATTGCGAGGAGAGTTTTCTTATTCTATCAACTCATTCGCAACGAAACAAAAGGATCGTAATTTTTATTGCTGTGCTCCAGTTATATTTTTATTGACCTACATACGAAACTCTTACATTTTATTATACCAAAGTAAAAATTATATGTGCGCAGAGAGTTTATAATGAAACAAATACGAGATATGGTAAATATAAAAAATGGAATGATTTGTATACGACTTTGGCCGAATCTTTTCCACCCATCACATTTATTTTTAAACGAAAAAAAAAAAAAAACTGAATTTCATTATCTTGTCAATCGTCAGTGAGCGTGGCCCGTAGCAGATGTACCATGAGAGACCGATCACTTATTTAATGTAAGTTAAAGTATTTATGGTTGCAGTTGTTGTTGTAATTTATGGGTAATAATTAAGATTAGCAAAGCAATCTTTTACTAGTAAATCGTATTCCATCGTATGTCAGTACCAGTATCAGTTTCAGTCATCTAGACCGCGTGTAGAAGGAGCTCAAAATTCGAGTAAAAAGTTTTTCATAGTTGGTTGTGTAACGCCGTTAGTGGATTTCGGGAATGCATGACAAACAAATGCCTTTTTCACACCTATGATAATATAAATGATATTCTTCTTCATCTTCGACTCCTTTCATAATTATTGGATAATCTGAGTGCAACGGAAGAGTAGAAAATTACCTAAAAGTGTTAAGGAAATATATCTTAAATCTGCTTTTGTTTTTTTTTTTTTTTCTTTTCTTCTTTGCAAAACATACAAACCACTCATCCGAACACTGCTTAAAGCATATGTTGAATCCCTTTGAATTAAGCGACGTGTCTTCCGCAAAAGGATGTTTAGAACATATATCGCAAGATACCAAGTTAATTTAAGAAGTGAAATTTTTTGTTTGTTTTTTTTTTTATTTTCATTTTTGTCCATTTTTCGTTTTTTTTTTTTTTTATTTATTTTTTATTTACATTCGTTTGGTCGTTGTATGTATTTTGTATGTTCGATTCTTTTGTACTTTATTTCCATAGATATTCGACATTTGCTACAGCATTGCGATTTCTCATAGTAGAAATATGTTCGATAGGAATTCTCTGCCGTTGTTGACTATCCAGAATAGTAAAATTGCAAAGAATTTGAGTATTTTCATGTCTGCTGTAATAGCAGAAGTGCTATCCCGAATTAGATCCTAAATTTAGTTAAAGTTTTCTTTTATTCTTGTTTTGCTCAACTTACTCGAAACTGCTCTGAAATTCCGCATTCCATTCTTGTTACGATAAATTTCATAAATTCTTTTTCCCACTATGAACATAATTGTAGCAGAGACAACTAGATGACAAGATGGTCCATCATTTATTCACAATTCAAACTAGAAGCTTATTACGGTCTTTTAGG